GCTCTTCCTGAAGTCCACTGTCATCTCCACTGTTTTAAGCGTGTTCAGCTCCAGGTTGTTGTGGCTACACCACAGGACCAGCTGCTCAACCTGTCTGTAGGCTGACTCGTCACCATCTCAGATGAGACCAATGACCATTGTATCATCAGCAAACTTTAGGAGCTTAACAGAGGATTGCTTTGAGTACTTCTCAATGCATAGTATGAAAGCAGCTCACTGGAAATGACAATATACAGCTCGATATCTAGCTACACCTCTGTACCACTGTATGCAGTGTAGTGTATTTATTAACCAGACAAGTATCCTCCTTTTTTTTTTTTTACTCAGGCCTATTTATCAGGAAAATAATGGCAAAAAAACAATTAGTCAAAAAATCTGAGAAAAGCTTGCATTGTTTTATTTACATTCAAAGTACTTTACATTTCCTCAGTAAAGTGAGGGTATAGTTCAAGTATTAATTTACATGGTTTCACATAAAACACTGTTTAAACACATGGAAAGCATATTTAAATGTAAACATACATAAACACCACAGTATGCGAATATCAACATTTCCTCATGAAATACATTCAACAGAGGACTTAGCATCACAAATAGTGCACACTTACTCTGGAGCGCCGTCTGATGGATGCCATGTTTCCTCCACATTTATGTAATGTAAGAGAAAATCAGTGTGTAATTTATTTTTATGTTCAAAGGTGGTGAAAATGGGACAGAAATAAAAATGAATAATCCTTAGTCCCTATAATACCCCTGTAGGTTTTGCTTGTGGGTCTCTGGACAGGGTATGTTTCATATGCATGACTGTAGCCTGACTGAGAATATGAAATATGCAACAAGGAATGTTCACTTATTATAAGCAAACTATATAAAGTTTTTGATATTTTGTGCAAAATCATAGCATTAGCTAGCTTCCATTTGTTAGCTCAGACAATTATATCCCTAATAAACTTTGATGGAGTAGCATTTTTATAGACTTCATTAACCCTCACTAAAGTGGGCCAGTCCAGAAATGTCAATCTGCATGTCTAAACTGTTCTGCTCCGCCATCACAGCCACAAGGTTTGTTCCTTCCTCCATCTTCTACATGGGTCTCTTCTAAATGCCTTTATATGCCCAGCTCTTTAGATGTTCATTGTCCTGGTGGTAAAGTGCTTCCACAAAGTATTATATCAGTCTTTCTCTCAACTCACACTTGGTTGACTTCCTTCTTCATTGAAGTGGGGAAAGACGTAGGCTCCCACCGGCCTAATATATTACCCCTCAGGCCTGCTTGGCACTTAACAATGAGGTAGATTTTACGGAGGACAGTGCGGCGCAGCAGGATATAGACCCAGGGGTCGAGGATCTGGTTCCACGTGGCCAGCCTCACGCCCATCACCATCAGGGTTTTATAGTTGGACAGGTCATCCCCAATGGATCCCGTGTAGGAGCGGATCACAGACATCAGGCCAAAGATCTGCAGGCATGAAATAAATGCTTGCAATTATTATGTGAGGAAGGATGGCGTCTGTTCAGACTGTCATTACGGCGATGACTGTTCTCTTACTGGTCTCCCAAAGGCTCTGCAATGATATTATAAAGTGTTATCATATCATAACATCACAACATGCTTCTACAGTATTTGTTTAGTTTTTATTATAAAACCTTACAACAAATACAAATACAAAAAAATATGTTTGGTATTGTGACATAAATACACTATGTTTTTATATTTTTGTATTAAAATTAATGTTGCATACATAGATGGATTACTGAATGGGCCTGCAGGGCACAGGGCAAGAGTCCCAAAGGGTTAGGGGGTCCCTAGACCAGAGAACCATGACTGACCAGGCTGTTGACCTTTAGGATGGAAATTTAAATAAATGACTACAAAACAATGACAAAAAGCCCCAAAACCAGAAACAAAAAAAGGAAAACAACTGCAATGACTGAAAATCACTAAAAATAGACACAAAATGATTGAAAAGAGACAGAAAAGCCCCCAAAGACAAAACCACAAAGAGATGCAAATCAGGTAAAACAGACACACAACAAGTAAGAACAAACAGTATTTCGATTTTCTGTATGTCCTGCACATATGGTGAATTGACAATAAAATCCTTGAACCTTGAAAATGACTATAAAGGAACACAACAATTGACTACAAATCACATGATTATCTAATCTGTGTGTCTTGCTCCTAGAAGAGTAGGAGGGGTAGGGATCTTTTATATGTCTGCACCCAGGGGCCCATTGTCTCATAATTTCTTCATTTTTTTTCTTTTCTTTTTTCAGAGTAATAGTTGACCAGCATCAACTTAACCAGGCCCTCAGGAACTGACAGGAGGCCAGGCTCAAGTCAGATTCAGATTCTCACTTTATTTGGTCGGGGTGGGCAATACCACAAAGTGTTTGTTCTGACAACTTGGTATTGTTTGGTGTCAATCAGCTACCAAATAACACCAGGGCCAAATTCATCAATATCCTACCAATACCTTTTTCTTATTAAAAACTGCTAATATACTGTTATGCTGGGAAGAGCAATACTTGAGTTACTTAGTTACTTATCACCTCTGTCATCATTTATGATGGTTATGCTTCTTATAATTTACCTCTGAATTCACTTTCATTTATAACACCAAAGCATCAAGGTTCAGCATTTCTGTTCTGTTAATTACATAATCATAATCATGCTAAAACACAAGGCAGTTGGTAAATAACAAATGTGTGTTGTGTGAATTCTTTGACCTATCAAGTGATTGCTGAGTGCAATCATGCAAAAGATGCAGCAAGGCAAAGAGTGTGTGCACCACGGAGGGCTCATGTCCCCAGAAGCCAATTTGACGTGAGGTGTATCAAGCTTTTAGTATTTATCAAACTGATGGTAAATCTGATGCTCATACTGGTAGCTTTGATATATAAGGCATCGATCTGCCCATCCCTCTTTGAAGGAAATGCAGCAAAATCTGCCATCAGTGTTTGATAACTGACCTTGTCTTCCTGATAATTGTACACTGTATTATTTGTGTAAATTATTGATTGATTGTAATTACTGATTTCCTTGAGTCCTGTTCTTTGATGATGACTGAGCAAAGTCAAGTGGACAATGAAAATCCAGAAAGAACACAAAGGAGCTGAGAGCCTAGGCTACTTGATCTAGCTACTACAAAATGCAGTTTTATGTTTTCTTTTAGAAAAGACTGCATTATAGTTAACCTGTTGCTAATTTGATACTCATATTAAGTGTTGTTATTCTAACAGATGTTTCAAAAATACTACTATTTTAAACACACAGTAGTAGGTGTGAGTGTGAGGACAGAGGTTAGTGACTGATTAAACATGATACAATTTACAACTCTGTGGAGTGCTCTTGTTAGCCCGCTAGTCGTGCTAGCTTGGGCAGGTTATGTTTACAACCCAGCCATTGCTATTTCCTGTCCCCTTCTGCTTTTGACCACACGGGTACATTTCCCAGGTTGATTATCATCTGACTTTGCCATAACAGGTGGAACAACACTGATAAGATAGTGAGGGAGCTGTCAATCAAGTGCATGTTCACACAGACCTATCAGGCCTGTTATGTTGCCTATCAGGCAACATAAGTGAAAACACCTATGTGAGCCACTTGTGTGTGAGTGCTTAAGCTAAAAATATTGTAGAGCTAGTAAGACTTTCTGAATCTGACAGTGGCCTGTAACAATAACAAACTTGTATTAGAGCTGGCTTATTCTAATAATATGCTTTTTACTGCATTTTTACTTGTGTGAATTGATAGAGTGCTTTCAGAGTGTGTATGTAGCCCAGGTGTTTGTTATGGTGTCTGTATTGTTATTGTGACCTTGCTCTGTGTAGCCATTGTACTTCCTGATACTCACCAGCAGAGGGCTCCAGCAGATACATGTCGTAACCATGATGCCGACCAGCTGCACTACCATCTCTATGTCGTGGGACTTGGCTGAGTGATGGGAGCCAAGCTTCCTCCTAAGCCGAGCGACCACCAGCGTCAGTCCACTGATCGTGTTACATACCAGTGCAACAGCTAGCGAGGTCAAACCAAGTCCAGAAAAAAGAACAACAAATGCTACATCCACCTCCTCAGTGTCACTGAGCACTTTAATGAAACACCAGGTTCCTGGGTCCTGATAGGTGTAAGAGCCCAAATGAAAGCAGGGCAGCAGGGCCACACCCAGAGCTACCAGCCAGATGACAGACAGGCAGATCTTTGTGCGGGTTTTGGTGACCAGGGATGAGTGCAGTAACGGCTTAGTGACACCCAGGCAGCGTTCGGCAGCCATGGCACAGCCCATGAAGAGTGGGCACAAACCAAAGAACACCATGCTGCCACCCAGGAACTGACACATACCATCAGAAGAGTTGAAATCCTTGGGGTGCACACCTCCAGAGAGGTAGAGTCTGAGAACCAGGGCACCAGGGATCACATGGCCAATGAAATCTGTGACCACCAGGGAAGTGGCAAACAGAAGGAATGTGGCTTTGGAGCGCCGTCGCTGCAGGGAGTAGGCATTAACCAGGATGAAGAGGGCCACAATGTTGGAGATGATGCCCAGTGTCATGGACAGTATTACGACAATGGCACCGCTGGTGGTCGGCTGCATGGAAGTGAAGTTCCCCTGTTGCAAAAACCCTTCAACAGCCACCCTGTCCTCCAACGTCCCTCCAAGGTCATTAGAGAAATGAAGGAGCAGCGGGGAGGCAGAGGAATTGTAGTGGCTCAAAGCTAACATCACTGAACTCGCACAGTCATGAGGTCCATAGTGATGGGAGGCTGCAGGAGAAAGAAGAGGCAGATCTGATTTATAAAGAGCCAAGAAACTGTGGAGCACATAAGGATTCTGTTGATATTATTAGAATAAAAATGAAAACTGTAAAAGTTAGGCATGTAATGTGTGAAAATTAAAGGTAAAACCTTAATAAACATGTAGAAACACAAATGTAACCATTTCCATGGAGCTCATGAGGGGCCACTGAATGGTTTGAAGAGTAAGAAAATGAGGTGAAACATACAGTATGACCTTCACAGCTCAAGATAACAACACCTATGAGAGATTTTGGACCAACATGTCAGACAGCGTCTCTCCCATCTAAACACCAAATGAGGGAATGTCTTTTGGAAGAATGATGTTCATCCTTCCGGTAGAGTCCAGAGACTGTATGACAGGAAGAAGTAACATTGTTTTGGACCAACACCTCACTAAGAAACTTTATGCTGGTTTGCCCTTAAATGTCTGTGCAGATTCTCAGTCATCCAGGTCATAGTAAGCTGTAAAAAACTTTTAAAAAATCAACTGGACTAGGTTTTTAGGTCAAAGACGTTTCACCTCTCATCTAAGAGGCTTCATCAGTTTTGCCATTAAATGTGTAATCTTTGTATTTTTAATATTAAGAGGGCTTATAATAAAAGTTAACCCACCTCTATAAATTCTTAATACCTTATAATTCTTCATAGAAGACTCTTCTGTAATTTATCTTCTAAACTGTTGTTTGTGGAACTTGACAACTGGTCTGTCCAACCATGGTGTCAGAGAAAAATTACGGTAAAATATTTCAGCAACCTTAGAATCACAGACACGATGAAGACAGTAATGTGAAAAATTAAATAAAAAATCATGACTCAGGTTTAGTTTGGTAAAACACAGGTCAAAAACAGAAAACACTTCTCAGCAACACTATAACTAAAAGTAATGTATTAAAAATCAGGGTGAAGCTACACGTATGTTCTTTAATATCAGGCATCATGATAATATAGAGGTTGTTTTTCATATCAGGTAGCCTCATACTGTACCTGACAAACTGACCCTATAAAGCAATTAACTATTCAGATTTCTCTCAGGGTGCCTAATGATATTTCAGGTCTGATTATTATGTAGTCTAATATGAAGCAAATGTATAACCCATTAGTCTGATGAACAATAGAAACTTTCCCCAGGCCATATTTCCCATCCCTGTACAGTTTCTCTCCCTTTTGGAAGAACTGCTTTCAGATGGTTATTTACACAAATTTGCTCCCGTTTGTAGAATATTATGGGGTTTTTTAATCTCTTTTTTTTAACAATGATGCCACCTACTTCTTCAGTTTAGATCCTAAATTTGAATCACCTCAGATCCCTTTCTCTTGGAAAAATGTCCACTTTGTTTATTTTCACTTTATTTGAATTTTAAAAAAGAGGCTTACCACGCCATAGTTCCGATATATTTCCCAGTCCCGCTGAACATTCAAAAGATAGTTTTCACTGTCGAACAGATACCCAGAAAAATATTTAGCAGTTGATAAAAATGTCTTTTTCAGAAATCACGTTTCCCTCGGTGTGCTTTGCGGAGTATTTCCATGGCTGAATCCGTCTGGCTCCTGCATGGTGGCTTGAAGGTTGTAAAGGATCCCACTAAACACTAAAATACTCAGTGAAGTTTTTATAGCACGCCTTTCTGCCTTCGGTCTGTGTGGGCGTCACTGCCGCTGTGCGTCTCCAGTTCATGCGCATCCCTCGTTGTCTGTCGCTTTTCTGTGTTCATCTAAACACAAAGCCCTTTATTGTCGTTACTCACTTTATGTATGGCACCTACACTTCCGAGAAATTATGTCGAACAGGCCTGTTTTATCTTTGGACAGCGCGCCGTGTAGAGCTACTTGTTTAAATGTCTTCGATTATTACGCACAACATCGCCAAAATGTATAAATTGCGCACTTGGTATTGAAACAGTTCATACGAATAAGGTTGCTGAATTTTACTGGTTGTGGTCGATTCGTGGTGAAGAAATTGTTTTTGTTTTCTGAAGTCTGGATCAGTGTACAGATTCAGTTTCATAGTCTATTTTCTTTCTCTTAATGCGCAACACTGTGCTTGAAATAACCTCTGGGGTATCATCTGTCTAAAAAGATCAAGTAGTGGATGTGCTGTTAGAGCTGCTTTCCATTTCATTTCTCTCAATAAATGACACAGGAGGTAGCTCAGACTGGTATGTGAAGTTAAGTAAAGTTATTAAATTATTAAAGTTATTTTAAAAGTTATTTGCTTTACAGTTTGATCCAATTACTCATGGATTATGGAAACCCATAGCAAAGGTGTGGAAAAGTCCAGTTCACCCTCAGAAAAGATCCACATGTTTCTCAAGGACTCTGATGTTAGTTCTGGGGCTTCTTCAGCTGCATTAACATGTCAGTTTTTCTTCTCACTGATTGACAGTCTGAGAGGAAAAACCACAAGGAGGCATAATGTATCTGTGATTTTGATTCCTTTGCTGCCAACTGGAGACAGGTGGTCATGTTTGTCTTAATTTTAAAATGGCCTGGCAGCCCAACTGGACACATTCTTGATCAAGTTGTGGTTTGGAAACAGAGTAAAAGCAACATTTGAAATTGGCTGCTGGTTCACAGGGAAGAAAGCAGAGGTAGGCACTGACACCTAAATTGGTTTCCAAAACTCAGGATGTGAGGCTGTCCTGGTTGTAACACATCTGTGAACTTAGCTGTCCTCTCACTGCACGTCCAACTGTCAAAATATAAAAAATGTCTATAGGGACATGTTCATTTGTAAAGGTGCAGGTACATCTGTTAAAGTTTTAAAGAGTAATAAGCACAAACACCTTTAACAGCAACACTGAACAAGAAACATATTTGGTTTGGATGTAGAACCACTGTCGTGATTTTTACTTTTTAACTAACGTGTTTACAGCTGTGCTAGCAGCTCTTGAGGCTGTATTTGGGCACAATAGGGCTTTGAGCTATATGCTAAAGTTAGTATACTCACAATGGCAATTTCAACATGCTGATGTTTGACAGATGTTTATCATGTTCACCGTCTTAGTTTTGTGTACTAACATTGTAACATTAATTAGTTCTTCACACAAAGACCAGCTGAGGCTGACGGGAATGTCATTAGTCCTGCATGTATTCAAACACATACCAAAGTAGTGGACAAATTAAAATGTTTGCCCTGATGGCAGCACTAGATTATCCCAACTGTTTTCCAGCTTCCTTGGTTGCCTGGGGGTTTAAGAATCTGACTATGAACCACCGTGTCCTTCTTTTGTGTTCAGCTGGGTTCATGTCGTTTCCAATCTGTCTTTCCCCTCATTTAGCTGTTGCCTCTCTGATAAAGGGATAAAATGCCCCACAACAAGAAACAAAAAACAAAAAGACAATTGGGACACCCCTGTAATTCAGGGGTTAAGATGCTAACCACAAATGCTGGACATCATCAGGTGGAGTCTGGTTGGGCACATCTGTTGTAACTCTCCCTTATTTCTAGTCATCACTCTCCTGTCTATAATAAAGGCTTAAAATTCCATAAATAGCTTTAAAATAAAATTATGAACCTGTTGGCACTAAATGAAAAGTAAAATAATCAAAGTCAGTAGTATCCATCCTTCAGGGATAATTAATGTCTGGACTACATTTCTTAGAAATCCAACAGTTATCAGATTGTTTTTGTCAGGACCAAAAAAGCAGACTGACAGAATAGACGACACTGTAGCCACTGCTTTTAGGAACCTGCTCCCAAATTTATTTAGCTTGTAGTTTTTATAGATGTATTAAAAGTTCCTAGCAATAATCAAAGACAGAAAGACTGTAAATGTATGCACAGTTATTTCTGACCAGACTGTTTTTGATTTCAAAGCCCAATTCAGGATTAAAAATTACAAGGCATAAGCATCAGTTGCTTTGATTGACTGCTTTGATTGAATTTTTTATGCATCCTGTTACCACACTAGCATGTTGCATTGTCTGTTGCTCTTGGACAAAACTACCAATAGTTCATGTCTTATTGTCTTCCTTTCCTGGTGCGCATTTAGTCTCAAAGCTGCAACAGTCAAGCATTTGGCTGCCATGTGTGTTATTCCTCCAGCTCTGAATGGAGACCCTGTTGCCCCCACTTTCCTCATCAGTTGCTCTTACAAATGCTGCCATTTGGCCTCTGCAGCCCACTGGCCCTTCCAATACTAAGTCTGGGGTTTGTGAGTTTGTGGTTCCTTCTACACCCTTTCCTATCCCACATAGTAAAATAATTCTGCATACCTGATGATCACAGAAGCATTCTGAGATGGATGGGAAAGTTTACAGTAAGATCTCTAGCTGTTCTTGAAGCTGGAAATGCAATATTGAAGAAAAAGCAACAACTTTTCATGTTGCATGTGCACACAATTATTCCATCTTGGTCACGAGACTCAAAACTCCCCAGACACAACAGTTTAACAGTTTCTCTCATCCATTCCTTTCTGCAGAGCACATGCCTGTATGTCAGAGAGATTGAGTATTTCTTGCCATTCAGATAGCTTTGAAGCTTTGATTTTCCAGTAACTCTAAAATATGAATTATGATCCCCCCCCCTTTTTTTACAGCAAGGAGGTTCGGCCCCATTCAATATTTTTCACAACTGCAAAGTGCTAGTTTTAATAAAACAATGTGACACTGTGTAAACGTGTTCAATGCGGCAATGGTAACCACAGAGTCATGTGCTACCATATTCCTCAGTGACAGTTTACAAAAATGCTGGTTATTATGAGTGGAAAGCCACATGCAGTCTGTCTGGGCGCCTCAAAAACTCCTGGACACTAATGAAACACTGAAATGTTTGCATGAGAATATTCGACCGAGAGAAGAGGAGACAAACATGCTGTCGGGATAGAGACAAGTTGAGCTTCTATTCTCTGATGAAACACATACTCCTGCTAGTGCAAATTATTTAAAAACTGCTGCCTGTCTGACTGTTTGGCTGTAACCCTGAGGTCATTTCCAATATTCACTCACTGTTTTGCTTATTGTATGTCTCAAACTCTGCAAAGATCAGAGGGAGTGCACATTCTGCCAAAAGAAATAACACATTTATAATGGTGAAATCCACAAATACTCACAGTTGTTCTTTATTCTGGGTAATGCACCGCTGATGCGATGTTTGATGCCAAACACCAAAGCAAATGAGTAGGAAGCATTAACTTGCTGTCCTGTGTTGAAACATGCAACTGGATATTTACTGGAGCGTTTGAATGAACAGAATTAAAATGTTTAGAGAGAGGACTGCTCTATTCAGCCTGTCTTTCCACAGCAGTGCAGATTAATCCCCTGATGTGACATGATGTGAAAGAAACCAAAAGCCTCTGAAGTCACACATGGATGCCAGCACATGGATTAATGTCCTGGAGTACCTTGCCTAGATTGATAAACTGTGTGTTTTATGTAGACTTTTCAGAAGCATAACCAGACCAAATATTTTCCCTTGCAGTGCTAAAACAGCTGCCATTGTTCACCTTTGGCTTTGTTTTGTTGTGTGTTCTCTAAGCAGCACGGTATTCAGATGAATTACTTGCAAATCTAGAACTAGGCTGACTGTGGTGGTCTTGGAACAGGCTTCACATGAAAACCTAAAAAGTTTTAGAGTTGGTCGTGTTTGATATAAAAGAACTGCCTCTAGGCGCTAACTAGTCAATGCAAGTCTAGTTTTATTAATATAACACAATATTGCTAAACACAAATTTCCCTCAACCACCCAACAAGATGCATCACATCCCAGAACTTATTAAAATGAGGGATGTCAATTTTGTAAACTGGAGATTGCCTGGTAGTTTCTGTAATTTACCAAAACCAATAATCCCACACCCACTTTGCAATTAATTGGCGATGCATGTGTGTGGAGCTGAATAAGTAAGCAGACATTAACTGGCTCTATTGACATAAAATTTGGTTCAAACATTCCCCTTCAAAATGAAATGCAATTACTGTATTTTTAAATGACTTTTCAGAGCCATTCTCTGGTCAAAATGTTAGTTTGTCAAATACTTAGCAAAAAAAATGCCTGAAAAACAAGTTCAGCCTCAGCAGTGGTTTGTGTTTACTGCCATTTAACAATGTTAGCATGATGATATGCTAAATTAAAATGATGAAGAGCGCAAACATTACTTGCTAAACTTCAGCTAATAGCGCTGTTACAGTGAGCATGTTAGAATGCTAACAATTGTATTTCTCTTAAAGCATTGCTATAGTGATGCACAGCCTCACAAGGTCCATAGCACGGCAGAAGATTCTTTGTCTTGTTCACTGCCAAACAGACTGACCAACAGCTTTTTTCCTTCTTTTAGTGTCACTGGTGTCGACTCTGCTCTTTCACTGTATCAGAGTTGTAAACAAGTGATACCATATATCTGTTTTTGTTGTTCACTTAGTGGTGCAAAACTAGAAGTATATTGTTTTTCTTTATACTTCCTTTATATGCAGTAGCTGTGCTCAGGTATTGTTACGATCAATAACACATACAGTAAATGGAGAATGGTTCTAAAGTTCATATGGCTCAATATTCACAAAGGTCGGCCAAAGTCCTCACAGCAAATCAATCTAACTTTTCCTCTGCAGAACTGTTAA